GAGTGCCTCTCAGATTTTAATGCACATAAGAATTACCTGAGGCTTTATGTCTTAGTCAGTTTGGGCTTTTATAACAGAATACCATAGACTGGGTGGCTTAAAACAAACATTTGTTTTTCTGGGGACTTGGAAGTCTAATACCAAGATGCTTGCCAATTTCATTCCTTGTAAGAGCTCTGTTGCACACAGTTGCTTTCTTGCTGTATCATCCCAAGGCAGAGAGAGAGAGAGAAAGAGAGAGAGAGAGAGAGAGAGAGAGAGAGAGAGCGAGAGAGAGAGGGAGAGAGGGAGAGAGAGATCATCTTTCTAATACCTCTTCATGTAAGGGCACTAATTCTGTTCATGAGGACTACACCTTCATGACCTCCCAAAAGCTCCACCTTCAAATAGCATCACATTAGGGATGAGGGATTCAGCATATGGATATGAAAGAAACATTCAGTCCATAGCACCTTGTTATTGTTAAACACAGATTGCTGTGCCCTACACTCAAGTTTCTGCCCTCAGGGTGGGTGGAAGATGGTGCCTTAGAAATAAATTTCTAGGTGAAGCTGATACTACTTCTCTGGTTCCCCACACTATGAGAATCATTGGGTTAGACTGAGTGAGTTATGTACATACTTGTGTCATAGGAGATAATCAACCTATTAGCAAGCTCACTTGGAAGCTGTAATAATGCTCTTGTTTGGGTTTTGTGGCATATAATCTCATTTAAAAGGACCACCAGAATTTATTTTGACATTAGTGGGGATTTTAGTCTTATTACAGAAGAGTGGATTAGAAAGACTTTATCCCTGTAAATTAAACTAATTCCTGGCAGGTTAAAAATAGATGCATAGTATATCCAGAAAGGAACTTACAGAGGGAATTTCTTACTGGAATTAATGTCTTGGCTATGTCAGCCTGGGTCTTTGTTCCAGGGTAAACTCTATCATGCCTGTTCTTTAGGATTTGAAGCCACTTTTCTCCAGAGGCATATATCTTGAATGAATATAGTATTCCTTTTGCAATCCTCATAATTTTATAATGGTGAGTTAAAAAAAATCAAGTAATAATTTGAGGTTATTTGGTAGTGACAAATGATAAGCAAAGGGCATATATATTTAATATTTTTATTTTATATAATGTAATAGTTTTATAAATCAATAAATAAAAAAAACACTAAGCTATAAAATGGCAAATATATTGACAGGAAATGGCAAATTAGGAAAAAAGGCATTTCAATTTATGAAAGTACAGTATGTTTAATTTTTCTACTAATTAAAGAAACAAAAAGAAAAAAACAGTTGAAAACAATGGTCTGTGATTATGCATTAAATGTGCTGGTGATGCTTGGTAAATAGAAAATAAAATAAGATAAAGTGCAAGCACTAAAAATAGTAGTCATAATATGTTTGAAAAATGTCAAATGTGGTTTGTTCTAACTTTCCATTTATTTGTGCCTACATCTAGAGGATTGAAGATCGCTAGAGGAAAACCGTGAACCACAGTGACTGGTCTTATGTAAATTTATGACCACTAAGCTCAGTGGTCCTTAGCCCTACCTGATAATGTCCTATTTTTTTTCTGGGTCCTGTACTATCCCATTATCCTAGAAGACTATTTTATGCTCACTCTATTGTCAACTTCTATCGCTTTGTTTTCCATTCTCACTCTCAGCTGGTAGGTAGCTGTTACGAAGTTTTCAAATTAACATTTGTTAAGTGGAGCACAGGGTGCTGGATGATTAGCCATGGTTCAAGAACAGATCATAGGAAAAACTGAAATACAGAAGTTTATTACTCACAGTTCCTGGAGGAAGTACCTGGTATGCCTCAAGAGGTCACATGGGCAGGTGAAGGCTGAGTGCAGACAGACAGACAGATAGGACCTGGGTCATAAGCCTATATTAGTGTTGGTGGGTGGAGTGCTTTGGGGTTTTCGGGCTAAGGCAGTATTGATCAATTCAAATCATAAGAGCTGGGGTTTGGTAAGCCCCACAGGGGTTTTTCTCTAAGGAATGCAAAAGAGGTATTGGGAGGCAGGGGAGACTGTTGGGGAAGTCCTATCAGGAACTTAAATTTGCTATGACTCTGTGGGCTGCTCACTAGGGAATGAACTTGTATTGAAGGGCTGTCAGTTTAAGGTGACTGCAGGCTGCTTGGACAAGTCAAATGAATATCTAGGCAGCAATACCATGGAGTAGCTTAGCTAAACTCTAAACAATACCCTTGAGAAAATAGAAGCTCTTAGAATTCTAAGAGAGTCTGTACTTTCCCATGACCACATCTACCAACATATATGAATCTATACTCTTTTTTCTTCTTCTTTTTTTTTTTCTTTGGAAGAACTGTTCATACTCTCATCTGAGGCCAAACAAGCTTTCTATGTGTATGCTAAAGCTACAAGAACCCCGCAATTCTCCCTTTTCTGTCATGCATCATCATCTCTTACCGTCCTGAATTATTTCTGTGGATGTGTATACACATGCTATTTATCTTCCATCTTAAATCTCCTTTGATCTCACATTTCCTTTGATCTGTTTTGTTTCTATGTTCCTTTTTACTGCAAAATTCCTATGAAGAGTAGTTTTTACTATCTCCATTTTTTCCTTTTTCCCTTGAACTTACTCCAGTTAGGCTTTCATTCCTACCATTCTCCTAAAAAAGCTCTTGTCAAAGTCACCAGTTACCTCAATATTGCTAAATCCAGCAGTCACTTCTCAGTCTGTATCTTCTTAAATATGTTTGCGGCATTTGATACAATTGATTCCTTTCTTCTAGAAACACTTATTCACTTAGTTTCTCTCTTGATTCTCTTACATGATTGCTTATTCATGTTAGTATCATTTTCTTTTTTTTTCTCATCTTATTAACTTATTAATGTTGGAGTGCCACAGGATTCAATTCTCAGACTTCTCTATCCAAAATCACTACCTGGGTGATTCCATCTACTGATGATCTTAAATGCATTTGGATGACTCTTAAAGTTTTACCTTTAGCCTTGACTGATTCTACCCTTGCGTATCTAGCTACATCTTGGATGTTGATGAGGCATCTCAAGCCTAACATGTCCAAATCCCAAATTTTAATGTCCCTCACTGTTATCCTCTGTCTTAGATAATGTCTACTCCATTCTTTCAGTTGCTCAGACAAATGCCTTGGAAACATTCTTGATTTCTCTCTTTCTTTTACATCTCAGATCTAATATATCAAGAAACCCTGTTAGCTCTACCTTTAAAATATCAAGAATTTTATCATTTCTCAATACTACTACACCTACCTATCTTGTCCAATTCATCTTTATTTCTCACTTGAAGTATTTCAGTTGCTTTCTAACTGGTCTCCATGCTTCCACCCTTGACCTTTAGAGTCTGTTCTCAACCCAAGAGCCAGTATGATACTCGTAAAATAATTTGTATTATGTTATTTCTCTGCTCAAACCTATTCTTTGTCTTCCCATTTTACTGAGATTTAGATCTGATGTTCACAAGGCTTAGAAGACCATATATTTATTTGTTCCCAGTGATCTCTCTGTCCTCAGCTACCATTCTTCCCTTGTCTATACAAGGGGAGATGCATTTATTTTTTTGCTGTTCTTTGAATATACCAGTTACATTCTTGCCTACTTGCTACTGGTCCCATGGCCTGGAAAACTCTTCTTTGAGAGCCCTATGACTCTCACTTCCTTCCTTTAAACCTCTGCTTAAACATCTGTTAATTATCCTGTGAAACATAGCAACAACTTTCCTTTTACTCCCCACTTCTCCAGGACTAGACATCCCTTTCTTCATTACCCTAGCATATTTTTCCTATTATATTTATAACGAGTTGGCATGCTGTGTGTTCACATATTTTTCATCTGATTTCAGTATTCCTGAACTAGAATGCTTATTCCATGAAGGCAGCCTCTTGCTTTATTTTGTTCAGGGAAGTGCCTCATCCCTAAGCCCTCAGACAGTGCCTATCATATAATAAGTGCTCAATAAATATTTGTTGAGTGAATAATAAGTTAATGTAGATACGGATTTTTTTCTGTCTTTTTTTTGTATTTATTTTGGGGGATACCCTTTTGTTTAATAACAAAACATTCTCAGCAATTATGTTCTAAAAATAATGCTTTATAATTTATCCTACTATTTCTACTTTGGACTCTTTAGGCATATGTTGGAGTTTCCTAGTGAAATCTGCATGTCTTAAAATTGCTTTTATATTTTTAATCTCATCATTTTTCTATGCATTGTTTGGGATGAATCCCTTATTAATAGTCTCCATTTCACTTATTGCCTTTTTGTATCTCGTTGTGAGCTTTTCCCATTTAATTGCTTTTTTATTTATTTAGTGGTTATATTATTATTTTCAAGATTTTTAATAGATTTTTTAGATCCTCCTGTTGTTTTATTTATTGTTTTTGTTTTTAATTTTAGTTATTCTTTTAAGTCTTTAAAGATCCTTACTTATTTCAAAGTCTTTTTCATTGTGTTCTATTATTTTCATTTTGTTTAGAGATTGCCTTTTCAGATTACTGAGTTACTATGTGCATGTGTTGTGTGTGGGTGAGTGTAGAGTGTGTTTTCTTTATGTATTTTGTTACAGGGAAGAGGTGCAAGAAAGATCCACCTACTCTGACTCCATCTTTCAAATGTCCAATATTTTATTCTTAATATAATTCCCTATATAAAGTCTTTGTTAACAAGACATATTTATGTATTATTTTAAACTGATGATTCAGTGGCTGTTTCAGTGAAGATTAACTATGTGTTAAGTATTTTTATCATGTATCTAAATCTGGAAATTAAACTGTTATTTAATATGAAGTTGTTTTAGTTGTGAGCAGTTCTAAGTTGTTGTCACTTGCGGTATGGTTTCTGATTAATTTGGAAAGGGCTGTCAACCCCAAGTAACTTAATTTTTAATATTTTGAAGTGACACTCATGATCAGATATAAAAATTTAAAGGATTAGCTACCAATTATGACTAATAAACTCTCAATGTTTATATATATATATTTTTTATTTCTAGAGAAAAACAGAAATCTGAAGCTAAAGACAGAAAAGTTTTAGAAATTCTACAAGTCAAGGATGCTAAGATACAAGAATTGGAACAGGTTGGTGTTATGGTAGAAAATACTTGAAATCCTGTATTTGTTTCAGGTATTAGACCTTTACAATTATTTAAATTATTTTTTGCAATAATGTTTATTAAGAATATCAGGGTAATTTATGTCAGGGAATTAGTATTTTAAAAAACTACTATTGTCAGATTATTCTTTATTATATTTTGCTTGTAGCCTATTTTCTTAATAGTCTGTGTTATTTATACATTAAAACTCTTAAGATGGTGTTATAGTTTTATATTAGTGTCTAGCAGTTATTTATTGTTTAATTGAATTTTGCCTTTTATTTTAGCAGTTATTCACTTCTGAAACTTGTAAATTTTCAAATAGTTTTGTTTGTAGAAAAGATCAACAATAACTGGGGTGGTCCTATTTGATCTTTTGAAAGCTTGTATTTTGAATTAGCACAGTCCTATCTGTTATGTATAATCAGTAAATTATACCATTACATTTAATTTTATTTAATTATAAGTGTTTTGTTAAGATATAATTTTTACAATCAGTGTATTATTACTTACTGCAAAAATCCATGTGGTCAGTGCTTTCAGCAACCATTTTCAAGGTATAAACATCTTCAAAATAAAGGTGAAAGAAGTTGATTGCCTATATCATGAGAGAATATTTCAATTCATTTTGTACCAAATTGTTCACTATGGGCTAAATTACGTATAATTTTTTATGGGTTAAATGGAGGTTCTTTTTGGCAACTATTTTCTTCTGGCTTTGACTCTACTTTCCTTTCTAGCCAATTAAAGGGTCATGAGAACTTTGATTTTAGGTTATTGTTACAAAGTTGTTTTACTAAATGACTAAAAGTGGAAGTTAACTTAGATAAAAGATTCAATTATTCTTCCATTCTCTACATCCATATAAACTCTGTTTGAAATGGAATATATATTCCTATTCGACATAAATTTGAAGTTTATACCTTCCTCAGTGTTGTGTTTTCTTTATTGTAAATGTCATAATTGATACTATAATAATGAAATTTAGAAATAACATTTTAGTCAGTTGTGAAAAATCAGTTGTATTTCCCACTTGCATATCAAACCCTGTCAGAATGCATTCTGAGATATATATTGTCATGTGCGTAGAGTATTAACTAGGCTAGGTTAAGCTGTCTGACTGATACAGCTTGATGGCCTAGAAGTGGCAAACATCATCTGTATTCACATTTCTTTTTTCTTTTTTTTTAATTTTTAATTTTTTATCTTTATTGTTAAAAATATTACAGATGTCCCTTTTACTCCCATTGATCCCCTCCACCCTGCATCCACCCCACCCCTAGGCCTTCCCCATACCAATGTCTGTGTCCATGGGTTATGCTTATAAACATATAAGTTCTCTGATTAATCTCTCCCCACCCACTCCCCTACCCCCACCTTCCCTCTGATATCCCTCAGTCTGTTCCATGCTTCTATGTCTCTGGATCAGTTTTGTTCATCAGTTTTGTTTATTACATTCCACGTATGAGTGAGATCATGTGGTACTTGTCTTTCTCTGCCTGGTTTCTTTCACCTAGCATAATACGTTCTAGTTCCCTCCATGCTGTCCCAAAGGATAAGAGATCCTTCTTTTTTTACAGCTGCATAGTATTCCATGGTGTAAATGTGCCACAGCTTTCTTATCCACTCATCTACTGATGCACACTTGGGCTGTTTCCAGATCTTAGCTATTGTAAATTGTGCTGCTATGAACATAGACATTTCAAAGGAAAAGGGAGTCATTTAACTCCCCAAGATTCAGGGGGTTTAGGAAAATGTATTTCCAGGCTGAGCAATCATTTTCTCAGTTCCAACTCTATTCTACAGAGGATAATGGCTTTTGGCACTGCTTTTGATATCCTTTGGCATTAAGTTTGCAATGCTTTAGGGAATGCTCAGTTTACCAGATCTAGGTAGCTATTGCATACCATTTAAAAGCTTGTTGACATTCTTAAATGACAATTCACTTCTCCCTCTTCTTTGCTAAATTCTTTTTTCCTTCCTCTTTTTTGTTAAATATTATTTTATTATTTACCTTTTTGAGCAGAATCACTTATGTCAGGTATATAATATTAAATTCTCATCAGAGAAATTATTTGATTTTCAGGTGTCAACTTGTTTTTTAGGCCCCTAATTTCTTAGCCTATATTATGTACATTTTGGTGCAATGATGGTTATAACTTTCTACAAGGTATATTTTCAGTTCAGTTCAACAAAATACTGTATTAAATGTATGTACTACCCTGTGATGGTACCGTGGAAAATTCAGAAGTGCAATTCTTGGCTTTAATGGTTTTTAAATGTCTTTGAGGAGTGGGGTGGGGATAAAAGCAAGGACCAAGTAACTATATTCTCCTTCACTAGATTACAGATTCTGTGAGGGTGGGCACTCTTGTATACCCATTGACCCTTTTTTTCCAGGCACTAATATTTACCATATTGCCTGGCTCATAATAGATGTTCATTTGAATATTGTTGAATGTATGATATAAATGGAAAAAACCCCAATGTGTTGTAAGTGCCATGAAAGAATCACAAGCACAATATTATAAAGATTCAAAAGGAGGAGTGATTAAGTTCTGTGGGGAGATCTTGAAGTGCTAAAATGGATTTTAATAGGTAGAGATTGTAGGAGGATTTGTGTAGGGCGAACACTGGGCAAAATGCATGAAGGTAGGAGTATAAGGCATACTTGGGTAATATTGAAATTTATAGTTTGTTTCATACATAATATGTAAGAGTGTAGGCTGAAATAAGACTAATATTATGTTACACCTTTATTAAAGAAAGGCCTTGATTGCTTTAAAGAAAAATTTGAATTTTACTGGTAGGCCAAATAAATCTATCTAGGTTTTTCATTAGGGACTTAAGTTAATTGAGCTGCAATCTATGAAAACAGAACTGATAGTTATAGACAATTAGAAAAAGGGAAGCAGAAAGTGGGATGACTGGAACCTGAACTATTAGGTTTGCAAGAATGAAAGGTGTGTAAGTTAGAACCATAGGACTTGACAGTAATTTGAAAGTGACTATTAGGTTTTTAGCCTGGAGAAACCAGAGAACAGTGGTATTATTTTCAGAAAGAGAGTTATTATCAGGAGTTACAACTTACTGTGAGGATTAAGTTTTGATCTTCTTTTAGAATTTGTGTTTTAGTTATTGGTGGGATTGCCATTTAGAGATTTTTATCAAACTGCTGAAAGCCTGGATCTGACTCCTGGGAGGGAGTTTTCTCTTTAATGTGTAGATATTTAATGTTATAGTGAGATGGATGAGTTTAAACACTGAGAATTCTAAGGACAAGATATTTGCTGACATTATTAATGGATGAGAGGAAGAACAAATTTCAGTAAAAGAAATGAAATGACTTTAGGGAAGAAGAGAGAGAGAAGGATAATGCAGTATCTTATGAATTAAAAAAGGAATTCAAGAAGCAAAAGGTGATCAATGTTGTAACATGCTGCAGACTGGGGTCTGTGAAAAGGATTAGATTTAGCAATGAAGTATTGGGTGATTTTAGAAAGCAATACAAGGAGAATTGGTATATGACATTTTAAGAAATCGCATAATTCTAACAAAGTAATGGAAAAGAATGAGGAATTGTGCAGTGAGGAAAAAGAAGATTTTTCACTTAAAAAAGTAGGCAAAATATTTGAAACTAATGGAGAAAGAAATTAAAGATACACAAGAGCACTTGATTGAGTTAGCAGAATTCCAGATGAAGGTGGAGACATGGGATTAAGAAGGTAACAAGATTCAGTACAGTTAGTTACCTCTTTAGTAATTCAGGTTATATCTGTTTTCTCTAAAGCCATTATCTTTCTTCCAGCTTTCTTTTTTATTAATTTGTTATATCTTTGTTCATCCTTTTACACTGCATCTTTAGATGACTCTCTGTATATAATATTTGGTTGGACTTTGTGTTTTGACTCAATCTATACAACTTTACCTTTTTAAAGGTAAGTTCATCTCATTTGCTTTTCTGGATACAACATACTTCTTTGGTCTTTGTTCTCTGGTTGACCTTATACTTTTGTTTTTAATGTGTCTTTTGTTTTTTAAATTCAGTACATGTCTTCTCTTTGTGTATGCTTGTGTGTGTATGTGCATGCATGTACTCTCATGTTAATAATTTGGAAGATTTAGAGTATATTATTGTTCTTGTGATTAAGTTTATTATTTTATATATTATATTGAACACTGTATTTCTTGATTCTAACATATTCTGAAAAGTCTAGAGAGTATCTCTCAACTGCACAGTAGAAAAATGAGAAAATACCATACTTTTACTTACTTAGCTTTTCTTTCTCCTGCATTTTAAAATGAACTTAGAGGACTTGCTTTCCTGTTCTTAGCATTATTTAGTCGTTTTTTTTTAATACTGTCAAGATTTATAATTCTTCTGTTCCATTTCTCCATTATTTTCTTGTATAAATCCTACAGTAGAATAGATTGACTTATATTTGTTTTTCTCTTGCTCTATAACAAATTATCACAAACTAGTGCCTTAAAACAACACATACATTTAATAAGTTGCTGTGGGTCAGGAATCTGGGTATAGCTTAGGTGGGTCCTCTGCTCAGGATCTCATAAGGTTTTTTAAATCATGGTTTTGATTGGGCTATGTTATCATCTAGAGGCTTGGTTTGGAAAGAATCTGCTTCCAGGCTTATTCAGGTTGGTGGCAGAATCCATGTACTTGAAATTTTAAGACCAAAGTCCTGAATGGGATGAAAATCTGTATGGGGCGGGGAGAGAAGGAGAGAGATTGATTGAGAGATTGAGAGAGATTGATTTTAAAGCAATGGCTCATGCAGTTATGGGCTCACAAGTCTGAATTCTGCATGACAGGCTGGCAGGCTGGAGACTCAGGGAAGGGTTGATGTTGGCACTGTGGAGGAAAAATTTTTAGGACCACATTACCTTTTATTAAATTTTTTTTTTTTATATGTATCTTTATTGATTTCAGAGAGAGGGCAGCAGAGGGAGAGAGAGAGAGAAACACCA